GGTAATTCAGTTGTACAGGAAGCATGATGTTAAAGGCTTAGGGAATTCTTACACTCATCTGCACAGCCTTGCTGAACCAGTCAGCCTGTTTCAGAACTGAGCGGTTGCATGTTTAGAGTCCAAGTGACCCAGGGCACCAAAGAAGATAAAGATGTTTTTTAAAATGCAGGTCAAATCATATTGCTCTCCTTCCTCAAAATCCTCTGGTGCTTCCCCTGACTCAGAATAAAATTCAGACCCTTTACTGCTGTGGTCTGAATGTGTTCCCCCACAATTCATAATTTTCTTCCTGCCTTCTCTAATCCGTTCCCATGACCCATTTCGGCATCTTTGAACTCTCCAGTTTCCTTACTTACTGTCTTCAAAGGGACATTGTTTTCTCCACCATATTAATTTTCCAGTGGACTGCAGTTCTACTGCAATCTCTGAGAGAGCCTTCTCTTCCCTCTTGGTCTACCCTGCAGCACAGAGATAACCACACTAATTCTCCTCAACCATATTTCCTCTTGTGTCCCTCATGTAGTTCCAGAATGGTTGTCTGTTGCCCGCAGATGAAGTTTAAATTTCTTTGTCTGGTTTTCAGTATCTCTTAGAGCCTCTCCACCATGCTGTCTCCAGGAATACGTGTGTGTGTTTTGTTTTGTTTTTTTCTAGACTACCAAGCAATTGTGCAGCACCAGCTGGGTGTCCTCCAGTTAACTCAATTCTAACACTATCTACCTGGAGATGATGTCAGGTCCCACAGGTTAGGTGTTCAGTCCCTCAAGAGTAGTTCCACTTCAGAACCCGACTCCAAGTCTAGTGTTATGTGTGCTTCTGAACAATTAGCTGTAAATCAGAGGTTTCCATGATCCCCTCCTCAGGTTCGATTAATTTACTAGAGCAGCTCACAGAACTCTGGAAACTATTTACTAGATTGCCAGTTTATTACAAAGGATATTAAAGGATGTAAATGATGAACAGCCATATGAGGAGATACATAGGGTGAGGTCAGGAGGTCTCCAAACACAGGAGATTCTGTCCCCCTGGAGTTCTGGTTGGGACACCCTCTCAGCCAGGCTACCTAGGGGCTTTACAAAAGTCACCTCATCAACGTAAGAAAAGACACTTTTTATCACTCTCATCACTTAAGATCTTTCAAGGGTTTTAGGAACTCTGTGCCAGGAATGGGACAAAGACCAAATATCTCTACCTTACTATAAATCACAATATCACACTATATAATATCCTATTGGTTTTAAATTAAAACACCCCTGTCTTCAAGGAGATTTTTCTGACTTGTTAAGGATGGTAAGAACTACACAATTAACTAATACAATAAAAATGGAGTCAAGTACAATGAAATACAAAGAAAGGGGCAATGTGTATTTAGAATAGAAAAATGTTATCAGGGAGATCAGAAAAGTTTTCACTGTATACCTGAAATTAATACAATATTGTAAATCAACAATAGTTAAATTAAAAGTTTTCATTAAGGAGTTGACATTGCAATGGGTCCTGAGGAGGGGAAAGTGGATAAAGTGGGGTGGAGCAGGTAGAAGAGATACAGTGGATGGAGGGAAATAAGGGCATATTCAGGAAGAGTGCAGGTCTGGTTTGTGTGAGGGAAAAGGTACAGGGAAAGAAGGGGAAAGAGGACAGGGAAGTATTAAGGTATCACTGGGTAAAGAGCTGAATTCTAGAGTTGGCTGTTCGTTTTTCAGCTGGTAAACAGGAGGACTCTGAAAGTGTTTCCGTTTTTATGGGCATCAGGAATAGACCTGGGCCTTGAGTAGATCCAGCAGCAGTATCTGGAACTGATTGGAGAAATACCAGAAAGGAACCGGGCTAGAGCCAGTAGCTCCTCGGTAAATGCAAGCCCACTGACCAAGAGACTTTTGAGGTGAATTTCTCCACAGAATATCTAGAGCAGTATGTTAATGTGTCTAACCTCTGCTGGTAATGCTATCAAGAATGTTTATTACCAAATCAGTCATTCTTCCAAAGAAGAATGAGTTTGCCCATGATCAAAATTTTAGATTTGAAAATAATGGAAATTAGAATTCCTTCTGGATACTGTGACATAGCCCTTAAAATAATTTGCTTAATTACCAAATTACTGAAGTTACTGTGCACAGTGACAGTACCCACGAGGATGTTCTTTTTCAGCTTGGATGACACTGGGATGGTGATCTTTGATAATTACAAAGTTTAAGATAAAAGCTAATCAGGTCACCTTCCAGTCAATTGATACTACTTTCCATATTCCTATATTGCAGGGGCAATGATTTTTAAAGGGATAAGTATAAAGGTGATTGGGTAGTTGAGATTAAATTTTAGGGGGTAGTAAATATAGACTGCAAAACTGACATACATTTATTAAGTGGCTTACAACTTCTATGAATTTCGTGTTCATAAAAATGTTAAGTAAAGCATTATGATTTTGAATAAACCATTTTAAAACATTTTACTACCTTAGTTTTTGGATATCTAGATATGCAAAGTTTTCTTAACAAGGGATTGAAGTTTATAGCAAAATTTGGTTATTGCAGCATTTAAAATAGTTGGGTCAGCTGGCATGTGGATTCTTTGAAAAAAAGAAAAAACTAAATTAAAAAATCATTCTTTAATATTTAGTGAAATTCTGTTAAACTGTTATAATTATCATTCTTAATGTATTTTAAAAAACCAAAAAACATTAGGTAAGGTGACATATTAGAAAGAGAACAGGCTTTGGGGTCAAAGTGGCTCTTCCTCTTAGTAGTTATGTGACTCTGGACAATTTATTTGACCCCCTCCTTCTGAAAAATGCCCTTAATACCACTTAATTGTAGAGGCATGAGGATTACACACAATCCTAACTGTGACAGTTTTCTATTATGTTAGACTGAGGATTGGCAGACTTTTCCTATAAAGGGACAGATAGGAACTATTTTAGGTTCTGTAGCCTATGTTCTCTGTCATAACCATTCAGCTTCTCTGTTAAGAGCATCAGACTCGGCATAGACAGAACATAACTGAGTGCGGCCCTCTCCTATCCATAGGTAGTAAATCACTACCTATGGATACTGAAGTTTAAATTTCATTATCTTTTTCGTATGTCATAAAATATTCATTTTTTTGAACTATTTAAAAATATTTTAAAAATCACTTTTCACTAGTGTCCCATAAAAACAGGCTGCAGGCCCAGTTTGGCTCATGGGCAGCAATTTGCCAACCCCGGTCTTCGACGTTTAATTCTTATGACATGCTGTGAGGTAGGTGCCTTTATCCTAATTTTATAGATGAAGGAAACAGGTACAGATAGGTTCGGTGACTTGAAGTCCCACAGCCGGTACATGTTAGAATCATTCATTAGCCATTTTGAACCTTACAGATGTTTCAGAGTCAAGTGAAATAATAGACAATTTTCCAACCTTTCCATCCTCTTATTCCACTCTATTTATTAGATTATGAGGCCAATATGGGACAGGCCCATTAAAAGAAACTTTGAGTTTTTTCTGTAAGCATGTACTTCATTGAATTTTCTTTTTAATGTTCAAAAAGATGGCTTAGCTGAAAAAGGAAAAAATCACTATCTTAGTTTTATACAGCTTTTTTTCCCCTGAAAGGGCTTCAGACACTTTTTTTTCTTTCATTCATTCTCAAAACATCCCTGTGTGAGAGAAATAGCTTCCTAATTTTATGTCTGGGGAGACTGAGGTGGTGGTTTTGGGGTGTTATTGTGACTTGACATTGTGTCTTACAGCCATAATATTACCAACAGAACTAGAACTCCTAATTCTGACATCCTATCCTAACTTAAATGCTGCAGCGGAAAGGGAGGAGTAATACACAGAAATACAGTTCAGGGACTTTGTGTTCATGATACACACGACCTCTGACAACAGTAGTTGAATGAAAGTTTTCCAGATCATGTCCTACTTGTAACTGACATCGCTGGAGCAGTGTAGGGAACTACATCCACCTAAGTTTTAAACAGAAGAGGAAAACTTCTACATCACTGTCCTCTTAAATGAAGACTTGCTCCTGGCCTAAGATCAGCAGTATACTGGCACTTGCCACTTGTTTCAAATGTAAGAGTGAGATGCCTCTGTGGGTTCAAGATGTTTGCCAATTGCCAAACGTCATAAAAGTTTCTTCTCCTAATATTCCACTCAACTGGGGAGGGGTAGTTTTGTTTAAAAAAATTATGAAGTTTTTAGGGTAAGAAAAGAGTAAAGACGTTTCAGAATGAGAATATAAACACTGAGTTGGCCTTCCAAAACAAGCTTGAACTTGAGCCCTGCTTTACTGTTTCAGACCAAAATGCAGGATCAGTGTATGCTTTTCCCATTGTATGATTTTGCTCAGCATTTTCTACCGAATGTGAACAAAACATCTTTCTACAGCTCCTCTATAATTAAGAATAAAATCCATGCTTCATATTTTAATGACTGCATAAATTCTCACGGTACGGGATATGTAATTTCCCACTGTACTGGATCAATCATAGGATTCATTGTTAGTACACCAGAGATAGGACTACATGTAATGTTCCCCCCCCCCAAAAACTACACACACTGAAAACAAACCTCTCAACATCCCTATGTGTGATAGAATTAAGAGTACCATTATTGCATTGTGTAAATTTATAATCACGTATGTTCTTGAACAAATACTATTGAAGTGCATTGTGGTTTTAAAGCTGCTGTCCACAGAGAGCTGGTATATCTCCCCTGTGGAACTGGCAACACATTTTTCTACCCTACCAACCTCCCCATCCCCAAGTTGCTCTTAATTTAGAGTTTATAACATTCGATTCTAGCTTTATTGTTCATACCATCAAGTCTTGAGTTTGCCTCTTTGTAAGCGTGTCCAGTGACTTGTAACATATTCTTTAATTACTTGAATTATTCAACTTCTTGTTTTCCCCTCAAAGAAGAAACTAAAAATACCTTTATACTTCTTTACTTCATGGCCAAGAATATTTTTAAATGAAGAAACATACACATCAAAAAAAAAAAAACCTGGTGACAAACTACTTTATAAATATGTGACTGTATTTTTCTTCATGTCCAGAAACTCTTACTGAATAGAATTCAGATATGTCCCTCCCAAACCCACACAATTCATAGATCTAACACCAGATTTTCATTTGTACCAAAACAGGCAAGATAATGAAGGCACAGGCTCACTTTAAAGGACATCACACACAGTCATGAGGCACTAATGACACAGAAACAGAGTCAATCACGAAAAGCAGGTGTTCAGAGTCTTCAGTTACTTCTCCCCTTTAACATTTGGCAAAGTTCCATCTAGATATTTTAATACCTCAGAAAGAAAAAAATAAATAAGAGATGCTACATTAAAATGTCAGAGGACCTATCATTAGTCTTTAGAAATAGCAAGAAAGGGATAAAATGAAGGGAGGGGACCACAGATTTCCTATATTCTGGGACAATCCTTCCTTTCTGAGGGCCTCAGATGTCTGTACGCATCTGTCCAAATGCCAGCTGTACCTGAAGATTGAAGAGATGGCTGGTAGTTGCTGACATGGTCCCTCAACACGATTCAATGTTTCTATCACAAAAACAAAACTAGCCTGATGTCTGCTCTTGAGTCCTTTGTTAACAACCTGTCAAATTTGGTTATTTAAAAGTCATCTCAGAAGTTTAAAATAAAGGAAAAATATATCCTGGCTTCCTAAAACGAAACAGACTACAGATTTAGACTTCAATGGCAAATGAATACACTTGAAAGCCGAGCAGGTCTCCCTCCAGTAGGAGAGTCTACGCAGACTTCAAAAACAGTTACTGTTTCTCTACTGCCGATATCACATCACTCTTAGAACACATCAAGAGCTATTTGCACAGTTTTAAGAGACTTTTTCCATGACATAATATATGACAGATCAGGATTTAACCTAGTTCTGAACAGATAGAATAGATCTGCGCTTACAACATCCCTGTTACAAATATATGACAACTGAACAACAAAGCACAGCCCAATCTCTGTTTACATCAAAACCACCCACCGTCTACATGATACTTGATTACTTGCTGTGGGTTAATAGCACCCACTGCTAGGCTAGAGCTGGCAGTCCGTGGGGCGTGTCATTTACAGGGAAACCTAAGGTCTGTAACTGCAGAAATCACATGGAAATGTACCAGCCTATTCAAAGTGGTTAAATATATTCTTTTAATTTTTCCTAGGAAATTAATTTTGGTAGTCTCTCCCAAGTCTTTCAACTAAAGAGACCTTGGTCATTTTTGTCTTTTTATGGTTTCAGGTATTAGGAACAATGGAGTTGATATAGCATGTATTCACAATTAACTGTTAACATTTCAGTAAGTTACAATAAGCTGTTTTTGCATGCTTGAAAAATTAACTGTGAAGAAAAAATAAGGAATACTTTTGGGAGGATCTCAATAATTGAGTGTTTTCTTTTTGCTTTAAAAACAACCTCTAATATTCAACTCTGACAACACGGTGAGTATATATATATATATATATATATATATATATATATATATATATACATACACACATATATAAAGTTCATTTCCATGCTCATTACATAAAAATAACTATCAGAAATATCACTCTATCAGTGGTCAGCTGATATATATCCAATTAATTCACTGCAGAAGGGAAAAAAAGATCCAAAAATTCTAAAGTAATCAGTAAAGCTCACAGTTCAAAAAGATTTTTTTTCCTTTTTTTTTCTTTTTTTGCTTGTTTGAAATGTTTTGGTAGTTTATCTGTGCTCTGTTGTGCAAGCTGATTCCCAGACTAATGGCCTCCAAGCAGGTTTGAAAGGAAGCCCGAAGACTTCCTGTTTTGCTGGGCTTCTTCCTCCTCGTCTTGTGAAAGTCCCAGTTCACTCTCAATTTGATCGAGCTCTGACTGGTCAAGTAGTTCAAAGTCATCACCTTCTTCCGTGTCTGTGTCCTCCCCCAGGCTGGGTGCAGCCTGCGACAGTGTGTGCTGCACGCCCCCTAACTGGTCTTTGATAGCTGCGGTCACTGCGGCAGTGATGACATCCCCAGCCAGGTTGCTCATCAAGTGAAAGGTCTGGTCACTGCCCAGGGGAAGGGTGAGACCAGCCGCTGACTGCCTCTCTTTGCTCGGCCTGGGACCACTGTCCAGCTGTTCCTTTTTCCTCCTGAGCTCAGTGGGCAAGCCAAGGCTTAATTCATCTTCATCATTTGTTCCCGTGCCATTTTCTAGAGAGGGAAAATCTGAAAGGTCTCGAGAGAAAACTTCCTCACTAGGTCGGTCGAGATCTGTGAAGCACAGAACAGAAGTTTACACTTAAGCACGAAATACACTGGAAATAAGAGCGCTGTCTGCAAGATCCCTGACTTGGGTCCGAATCCTCTGGGCAACCCTGGTGTTCAGCTGGCCTCCTGGCTCAGCTTCAGTCATCTTAACCACACATCGGACCCCTCCCCCAACTGGGATACTGTCTCTCCACACGTACACAAACACGACATTCCTCCGTGTCCTTAGTTCCCTCTTAAACACAAATGCTGATGACTTACAATTCAACCTATCTTAACATCAGCTGAGGCTCTGACTAGAGTTTTAAATATTCATCAAAATTTCACCTTGCTCTTGGGGAGGGAATTTGTTCTTAAGCCAATGTGAATGTGTATAATCTAAAATTTAAAAATTTTCAGTCGGACGTTTTCATAGGTTTTGGTCCAGCAGATGGTGAGTATCACCCAGCCTTCACATCTTCATTCATGGAAATCTATCTGAGTATCTGTAACTGTGTTTGTTTAAAGCAGTGAATTAAAAGAAGCTATTGCTCCTTCTGTTCCATATTCAACCTAAGAGCTTATGGAAACATCTGGATTTCCATGAATACAGCTGTACCTAACCATACCACTTTAACCAAACTCAGGTCTTGAACATATATAGAAACACTTTAAGCTTTGGGATATTTGAAAGCAATGTCAGGTTAGTAGGTAGATGGTGATTTTATTGCTTTTCACTTTTCATAGCAAATCAGTATAACAGTTAACGCTTTACAACAGATTTGAATTCTTCAGGTTAACTGTTTTTTGGGGGGTGGGGTGGGGGAGGAGGTAATTATTTTTGTTTATTTGCTTATTTTAATGGAGGTACTGGGGATTGAACCCAGGACCTTGTGCATGCTAAGCACACGCTCTACCACTGAGCTGTACCCTCCCCGAATTCTTCAGTTTAAGTAATGAAAGCCTTCTACATGGATGCGATTATCATTGCTCCTTTTGTGTAAATCTGAGATGGGGGGCTTAAGAACAGAGGGTTTGTTATTTATCCTGGTCTCGTAGACGTTTACAACTTAAAGAGCTTGAGAAGACTTCAGTGATCCTGTTGTTCTAATACACTTTAAAGATGAGGAAATTGAGGTCCACAAAATTATGTCATTTGTTCAAGGTCACACAGTAAGTTAATGACAAAGGCAAGGCTACACCTGGGTCTTCCAATCTCCAAATCTGTATTTTTTCAAGACTACACAGCCTTCCCCCTTCCTCAAGGAAAAGAAGGTGTGTTCTTGCTTGTAAAACTATATTCAAAGCAATTTATTCATAATCCTCCATTATAATCTGTTTATATTTTCAGTATATTTTTCAGTACATTAAAATGACTTGAAATAATAAAATGAGACTAGCAAAAGTTAAGTTACTGCATAAGAATTGTCTCAAATTTCACTTTAAATTGTACTTAACCTAAATTTTTAAAAATAAAATAAAAAAAAAAAACTAACTTGGAAGAAAAACATGAGAAAGCCTGGAGTCACAGCTTTGGATTCAGGAAACTTGCCCTCCTTGCACCGTCCCTCTGACCGAGGACCAGCCCTGAACACGCGGGATTAGTTTCTGTCCTCGCCGCTCCCACTACTGCTATCAGTAATGCCACCTGACATTCCAGAAGTTAATTTTTTTCACCATCGATTATTTGTTTCCAAAATAAAGGCAGGTCTGGACATTGACTGGCTTAGAGTTTTTCTCTCATACTCTTAAAAAGAAGATGGCTTTTGAGATATAATTCATATACTATAAAATTTACCCTTTTAAAGTGTACAATGAAATGGTTTTTAATATATTCACAAAGCTGTTACAACCGCAGCACTATGTAATTCTAGAACATTTTCATCATCCAAAGAGGAACATATTCATTACCAGTCACCCACCACCCTCTCTTGCCTCAGCCCCTGGCAGTCACTAGTCTTCTTCCCATCGTATGGATTTGCCTGTTCTGGACGTTCCATATAAATGGAATTACATAACGTGTGGACTTGGGTGTCTGGCTTCTTGCACTAGCATAACGTGTTCAGGGTTCATCCGTGTTGTCAAAGTGTCAGTTCTTCATTTTTATAGCCAAGTGATATTCCATTGTGTAAATATCCCACACTGTCCATTCAGCAATTGACAAAGTTAAAATACTTTTGCATGCACTCATAATAACGAGAATCAGAGCACCGAGGAGCGTGGGCATACCGTCAGAAGTGTCGGTCTGAGGAGTGTAGCCTTCTGAAAGGTTGAAGGTCCCATTGTCCGTCCAGGTGACCTCGGACACGTCTGTGTCAGACACAGACAACTCTTTGGCAGCAGTCGTGAGGCTAATCTGTGTTAATACAAATACCAGTGACACAGTTTTAAACTTCTGCCGGAAATCTTTTGAAAAGATCCAACTAACACCAAAAATGTCAGAATAATAAACACCAGATGGGTATTTTCCTTTCAATACTGTTCAATCATCTTAGATAAATAGGAGGAGTCTATTAAAATCATTCCAGTTCTGCAATACATAAATTTACAGTCAAACCACACAGGAACAAATGGAAAACGAAACAAAAGATACCTTAGGACAAAGAGCGGAAAAGTCTAATTCACTATCCTCTTTGCGACTTTTTTCTTTATCTGCTTCTGTTGAGAAAAAATGGAAGCTTTCAGATTCCTGGACGCAGTGTATTTTACCCATTATATACCCTACCCCACATTCCTCAGATTCTCCAGTGCCTCTGTATAACTGTTTGCACCTGACAAACTGCCCATAAATGCGAATGTTTGGTTTCCAAGCAAAATGGTCCATGTCAGTAGTTCACCAAGTGTAGTCCTGGAACCAGCAGCATCAGCATCACTGGGAACCTTTTAGAAGTGCAAATTCCCCGGCCCTCCCCTAGGCCAAATGAATCAGAAATTCCGAAGTGGTGCCCAGCAATCTGTGCTTTCATACGCTCTGGAGATGATTCGGATGCTCACTATAGTTTGCGAATCTATAAGGTCATAAGCCAAGTGAAAAAGCGAAAAAGTATCACATTACTTTTCCCTCTATTTTCTTTGCCTTCCTCTTAAATGGCTCCCACACTCAGTGCTACCTGTATCATGTGTTATTTCTATGAGTCCACCCAAAAGAAAACAATTTAGAGAACGTGAATAGTAAGTAGCAAACACAGAACTGTTGAAGCCCTTTCTCCCTCCCCTGGCAATGCTGATCAAAAAGTCGATTTTCTGTATGTTTGAGAAAAAAATTAAAGCTTAAATAGGAAAAGGCTAGGGATTTGCTCCCGTAATATGTAGTAAAAGACTGAAACACCTTGAAATGTATTAAAGGTGATTTCATAATAAATAGCCAACTGATGGCTCATTTCACGTGTGGAATACAGAATTCAAATGTTACCTACCGGCTCTCTCGCATTTCTTCTGGTTAATATATTCTCTGATTCCAAAATCTAGTTTCAGCAGTAATGACTTGATTTTGCTGTATATTTTTTGTCCAATATCATTACACTTTAACAGTGGGCACAAAAATGCACACAGTACTGAAATACAAGGAAGAAGAGAATTTAGGGAGACTGACCTTTTTTTCAAAAGGCTACATTTTAGTATTTCTCAAAAATATTTTGGTTCCCTTACTGACTGATAGGTGTTTTTTCTTAGGGAAATGCCTCTGTGAAATAAATTCATAGTTTCTATTCTTCCCTTTGCAATGGAAACATTTTCTCCTGCACACACACACACACACCCTCCACTCAACTTGGCTTCTCCCACTCAACTTAATTAGAGATTTATCCAGATTATTGCATATATCAATTTTTCAGTGCCGAGTAGTAATCCATTGTCATTGTTTTCAAAGACTTGCAGTTTGGTAACTCTCTCCCTTCAATTCTTTGCACCTCAAATTTATACAAAAATTACATGCTTTCCAGAAAACAATAGTGGATTAAAATATCAACTCTACTTATTTGTTAAATGCCATCTCATCATCGAAAAAGTTATTATTATCTATTAGCCCCTCATCCGTCATATTGGGATAATAACCTCATCTATTGGGGCTGCAGTGAAGAATAAATGAGATGAATGCAGACCATCGGAATAATGCCTTGCCCATTACTAGACTCTCCCAGACTCTGTTCCCCTTTACCTCCTAACCTAGGCAGATCAAGGGCTGATATTCTACATGAGTTCTACTTGGGAGAATGGATTTGAGCGCTGACCATCTGCCTTTTGTGCTGTGCATTAGGAACACAAAAAGAAATGAAGATCAACCCAATGAATGTATTGCATTCTTGATGTTTATTTTTTCATTATTGTTAGGAAATGTGACCATCTACTTTTTAAATAGGAGTTGCAAACTCAAATTTCTCTAGAAGACAAGGAGGCATGTGCACATTTTAAAGGCTGGTCCAAGAAAAATAGGGAAATACGAGGGTCAGTTAAGTGGAGAGCAGCTGCCCCATCCAAAGGTGGCAGGGCCAGGTCCTTATATTTTTCAGGAGAAGCAGGAATCTAAACTTTTTTACATCACTTTGAGTTATAGTTGACATATGATAAATTGCACATATTTAAAGCATACAATTTGATGTGTTTTGACATATGCATACAACAAAAAAAATCACCATGATGAAGATGGTGAATATACCTACCTGCCCCACGCAGAGTTTCTTCATGTTACTACTAATCTGCGGGGGGCCACTCATGACCTGAGGACTGCCGAGCACAGAGGTTGGGCCTAAACTCCCACAGTGCAGGGCGTCAGGCTCTGAGGTTGATCTCTCAAGGACAATCTCTGTCCCGCCACCCCTTTGAGGAATGTGCCAGGTGCATTAAGGCCTGAAGGAACATCCTGAGCTATTAAGTCACTAAGGACCTTTGGAAGGAGAGATACAATCGGCACGCAAGTTAGTGATCTTAGCCTGAAGAACAATCACCTGAGTAATAGTACACGAGTCACGATGTTAGCTTAGAGGAACAATACCCTAGTTTATGATCTTGGTTTCAGGAATTCTTAATCTTAGTTTTATGAGAACTGTAAACAATAGTAAAGTCTGCAACAATATACAAGTTAATGATTTTAGTACACGTTGTTAATGTACCCTAAAACAATACCTTTGCCTACGTGCAGGAATGTATGAGCTAATGGGTTAAAATCATATAAATTAACTGCTGGAAATAAACTCGGGGTCCACTCTTGACCTAGCATCTTGCGGGCTAGAGTGAGACCCTCTCAACCCCACCTTTTAGTCTTGTCTTTCTTTCTCAGTCCTGCAGCACAGGTTTTCTGGACCTGATCGATTGTCGGCTGGCTCCAACACTAATCCTTCTCTCCTGCCTTCCCTGCCCCACCCACCTCGTCCCCAGGCAGCCATTTATGTGCTTTGTCACTAAAGGTTAATTGGAATTATATATAAATGGCATATATAGTATGTACTCTTTTTTAACTTGGGTTCTCCCGCTGAACCTAATTATTTTGAGATTTATCCAGATTGTTGCATGTATCAATTTTTCAGCGCTGAGTAGTAATCCATTGTAAGGATATACCACAGTTTGTTTACCCGTATATCCATTGATGGACATATGAATTGTCTTTTGGTTTTGGCTATTACAAATAAAGCTGCTTATGAACATTTGTGGACAAGTCTCTGTGTAGGTAGATGCTTTCCTTTCTCTTGGGTGGAATACCTGCTGTGGAATGGCTGGGTCACATAGTAGTTTTTAAGAATCTACCAAACTGTTACCCAAAGTGGTGGTTCCATTCTACCTACCCACCCACAATGCAGGAGCATTGCAGTTGCTCCGTCTCATTGCTAATACTTAATACAGTCAGCATTTTCATTTCAGCCATTTTGGTGGCGGTACAATGATGTCTCATTGGGGTTTTAATTATTTTTTGAGCTGCAGATCATGTACAAGGGGAAAAGTACTAGTGTGCTTGTCAGGGGTGGAGAATATAGCTTATTTATAGTTTTATTGACATAATTTAAAATTAATCACTTATAACCTTCCTTTTTGACAGCTATTCTTATAATTTTGAAACTGAAACATGTCTCTAGAAAAAAGAGAAACTTTGTACAGCAGGAAATTAAAGAATAATCAACTTGTTTTATAATCAAGAACGCATCCCTCCTCTTCAATACTATGGAA